ACAATGTACTTTCTATTCATCCTCAACGCATTTTTACTATGAGACTGACCTCCTATAGGACTGAGATATATTTGCAATTGATTAGTCAATAAGTAGTGACCTATGAAATATATGTCAATTCCTCCGTATCGCTACCCGAATTCTATCGATTATGTTGAAAGGAGCATCAGTTCTTTCAAGATTACAGATTCACTTTTCTGACAAGTGTAAAACACCTCAGAAACTAGATCCATGGTATTCTGTCGACTACCTCCAAACACTGCCTTACATCTGAATATAGTGCATGTGATGTCAAGTCATCAAGACTAGTGGCCACATTACTACATTATCGATACAAGTTGAACAGCGCTAAGAAGAGTGTGATATACTTGATTATGGTCACTACTTAGTGATCATTCACAACAACACTTAAAGTTTGTTGTATTATTTATTTAAACATATAAACATTGGTACAAGGAGGCACCAAATAGTTAAGCGCCATATAAATCATACGATTTGTATGAGGTCTGGGATGCTGTCCGGTTGCTCAAACCGAAGCAGGTTGTTCTCCTAGGGGGCCACACATAGAGCATTCGACCTAAAGGTCTGATCTACAAGCCAGTGGAGCAATGTCAGGAGATGCAGTTCCATGGTAACCGGTGATAAATAATTGGTTTATACACCATTTGCTCCATTAGAATCCTGTAGCCCATGTACAACATTGGTTTGGAATCAGGGTTTTTCAACAGACCTAGGTGAATCCTCCATATATTCACCAACCTGGTTAAAGTGCCGGACATTCGGTTTCCGTCCTGTTAATTTCGTAAACAACATCCCAGTGTTGAGAAGGCAGTGAGTAGAACATCCCTGTCAATGGTTGTATGCACGTGGTCATGTGAGAGGATTTCGTGAGACAGAGCTGACTCTCTCCACTCTCAGCTGTACCAGGGCATTGTTGGCTATTATCTGTCTTCAGACATTCTATTGCTTAAACAGATAAAGTGATCATACTTTTGAAGGATTAATGAATCGACTATTCAAGTATTTACATATCTAATAAATAGCAAAGTTTTGTTGTGGCTTAGAGTGGAATCGAGAACGCTTGATTCGTAATACATAAATTGCATCAGTTTGATACATCTTCATCGCAGTGTTGATCTTTACAATGGAATCCGAATGAACCTTTTGTGTTTCTATTTAATTAATATCGTATTTGAAGAACATTTCAATTGTTCTTAATTAGAAATCAATGTAGGCTACCGCAAAATTGACCGATTATCCATTATCCATTATCTGAATACATTCATAATTAAATATCAAATGCCTGTTCGTGAGTAACTCTCTCATACTTGGACTCCAATAGTCATGACTAGAACTTCGGAAACTTTCTTTTCAAGCACGTAACAATAATCAATATTGAGTTTTATGAATTTTACTAGTACTACAATCAGATAAAAGGCTGACAGTCAATTGAAGCATCGAAACATTGTAGAATTGTTTCATTCTTTGTATGGAGATGTTTAGAAGTGAACTTTGATACTACTTCATGATAACTATCAACTACTATGAAATCATGTTCAATATAACTAACTACCGATTGTCTCTAATCAATTAAAATTGAACCTACATTATAGTTCAACAAACCATCAGGTGATTGCCTCCAAATGCCCTGGTACGGCCGAGAGTTAGGAGAGTCCGCTCTCCCTCTCCCAATGCCCTCACATGGCCACGCGTATAAAGCCTCTGCCATGGAAGTCCTACTCATCGCCTTCTCGTGGCGAGAGTGTTGTTTACGAAATTAAGAGGACGAAAAGTGAATGTCCGGTTTGGTAGAGATAGAGAGTCCACCTAGAGGAGTTGGAAATCCCTGATTTCAAACCAATCGTGCACATGGGCTACAGGATCCTGAAGGAACAAATGGCGTATGAACCAATTATTGGTCACCGGCTACCATGAAACTGCATCTCCTCACAATGCTCCACTGGCTTGTGGATCAGACCTTTAGGTCGAAGGCTCCAGGTGTGGCCCCCTACGAAAACCACCTGTTTCGGTTTGGGCACCCAGGCAGTATCACAGCCTTCACACATATCAAATGAGATTTGTGTGGCGCATATGTATTTGGTGCCTCGTTGTACCAATACCTGTGTGCTGCGATTACTTGAAACAATAGAACATAACTTTACATAAACAATAATTCACTTAGCATTGAAATTGTTTATCTATTGAAAGCTATAAAACATTCAAAACAATCTAGTCTATTTTGTTATTGACAATATGGCATGAACAAATGAAATGATAATGATATTCGTTTGTTAATTTAAAGTGAAGAGATTAGATGATACAATTATTTCCTGGATTATTTTGAATGTTGGAGAGAATTTGTAAGTTTACGGTTGTAGAGATTGTTGGGGTTTTTAATTGAGATCATGAACTGATCAGTGTTAGATCATCATTGAAAACGTGAAAACATTGGACGATTGCCTAGTCATAGTAGTCTGAAGGTTAAGCCTTCAAATACGCTGGTATGGTTGAGGGTGTGAAGAGTCAGCTGTCACACTCAAAATGTTCACACATGGCCACGCGCATACAACCACAGTCAAGGGAGTCATACTCACTGCCTTCTTGTGGCAATACTGTTGTTGATGAAATTGAGGGGACGAAAGATGGATGTCCAGTGTATTAATCGGATTGGTGGACACGGAGAATAATTGGAAAACCCTCATTCCAAACCATTGGTGCACATCGGCTCCAGGATCCTGATGGTCATTAGCTTACATGTAACTGCATCTCCTTATATTGCTCCATTGTCTAAGATGGCCACTGACCTTCTTTATTGAAAAAGCTTATGACCTAAAGCTATATCGAGGCAATCCACACAGGATGCACATATGCTAACATGAGACTAATCAATTGCAGTCCTAAATAACAATGGAAAGATACAAGTAAACAACAACATACATAGTATCTCGAAATCAGCTTTTTGTATAAATAACTAGGTCTACAATACTTTGAACTCAACTTCACTAAAAGATGCTGTACTATTGTCTTCCTTAATCTCCAAGATATTAGTACCGCTTATTTTCTAAACCCCAAATGACCAGGAATCAGTAAATTCTATAACAAATAAAACTAATTAATTCAGTCAAATAGGTTGAATAAATTCCCCCCGTAGACGGTGAGATTGTAATTTATATACGAGCCAATCAGAAGTGTTTGAGGAATTTCAAGGTCATAGTGCTAATTTCGCATACAATCGGTTCACAACGGATTTTAGAGAAAACGTGATAACTGAGCGGACTACAACAAATATGATTACTAAGAAGTTCTTGTATTTGTGATTGTGATAATCAAATGACTTGTGGACCTTTTACAGACTACCGTGATGATGTTGTCTTTCTATGTAATGTGTGTTGGAGGAAGAAGTCTGCTCGAGCAAGAACTTTCCTCGCTCGATCCCGAGTGAAACTGAGATAAATCATGATAATTGTTGCAAATAGGATAATAAAAGCACTAGTAACACTGGCTGCAACATTTGCAGACGTTACTGAAGCTTCAGGTGTTCAGCGGTATGAGTAATGTAGAGATGTACGTGTAATAAAAATGACAAGTTTACATGAGTCGTTTGGAGGAGTTGGGAAAATCTTTGAAATAGACGAAACGGTAGTCCGGAAGCGAAAATTTAACAGAGGACGTAATATCAAAGAAGACTGGGTAAGTAGCATTTCAATAAATATACCTCACAGGTAATTGAAATTTACGACAGATCAACTCAAAATGGACACTTGCAAAGGGTGAGAAACCGATAAGGAACGACAATAATACCAATTATACTGGAACACATGCAGCTGGATACTACAATATATACGAATGATTAAAGAGCCTACCGATGCTTGCATAGACTTTGTTATGTGCATCCTGTCGTTGTCCACGAGCGCCATTTTGTGAACCCTACAACAGGAGTGCACACAAACAATATTGAAGCTATTTGGTCGAGGCTGAAAGAGTTTTTGAGATCTTGTCATGTCTCTAGGGGCCGACAGTTATGGAGCCATTGTTCTCAAGGTCACTCAGTCTCACCGAAGACAATTGAATATCACGGAGTCCTTTCAATATAGTTTCGTTTTTCTGATCAGTGTGCATCTTTGACAACTAAAGAATTTGAAATTGCACCAATCAAATTTCATAATATCCACTCATCAATCACATTACCCAGATCCAGTCGATTCGTCAAGTACCACAATGGTCATTAAATACCGGTTATGTTAACCACATCATTCCAAATATGGTTAAACTTCAACAGTCATAAATTGTATCAATCTTTAACAAAAATCTTTAGCGAAATAGAAGGATTTCCTTCACATTGAACAACTAGAAATTCACTTCATTGATATTTGTTAATAACAAATCAGTCGATTTAAACTAGACCAACATAGAAAACGTGGACACATTGGACGGCCATTTCGTCCTAGTATAGGACTCCTTAACAGTACACATCCATGACCCCGCTCGCCGGTTTCGAACTCAGGACCTATCCGTATCGCGCGTGAACGCTTATCCTGTAAAACATTGAGTTGATACCCAATGGTGTTAATGTCTAACTTCAAGCAATCCACGAAATGACATCACCATCGATCATTGTCTTGAATGAGGTTTTCTGTGGTTGGCCTAGCTTCAATCAGTTCATGAATCCAACTATTAAAACCACTAACTTCTCCATAAAACCTACTTCTGAAATCAACATTTCTCTATCAAAATTACTCATTATCACCTAATTTTCAATCATGTTTTCATTATAAGAAACTAAAATCATTTTAACAAAAGATAATGAATAGAAACATGTTTGTTTATTGGCAATATGAACATCTAAATATCTTTTCAATGTATATGGAATGACATATTTCACCCAAGTTGTGTGTGTGTGTGTGTGTGTGTGCGTGTGTGTGTGTGTGTGTGTGGGCGTGCGTGTAAATGAGCACATACCTGTTGGGTGCCTATAAATAAGAATTGAATATCCAATGTATATTCTGATTAATCATTCGTGTAGTAATCGTGGAATATCATTTTAAATGTTAATGATTTGCAGGATCTTTATATTATACTTCATTATTGAATTGATTTCGTCCCAACCGGAACCTGTTTACATAAGCGATGATACTAAAGATGTCTCCATTCAACCTGAAACTAGTAACTGTTATTCTTGAATTAATAATGTACTTTTCTAGATATAACATCACTTAGTCCGATTAGGCTTCTAATACTATCATTAGACGAGGTTAAAGTAATGAGATCAATGGTTGACAATTTGATTACCAAACTAAATAATATATCACCTTCAAGTTCAGCTAATAAGCCTCTACATAATGGATTATTATCAAATCTTTGCATTACTTCTTATATTATTGTAACACTTATATTAATATTTAGAAAATACTGATGATACTACTATCAAAGATTATGAATAATTTCAAAATACACATATACATTACAAATGAGTTTTTTGTTATTGTATTGAACTACTTATATCCATTAAAGTAGTATATAAATGATAATCAGAAATAGAATGTATTACAGTTGAAAGTCGTTAAAGGACAGAAATGGGAACAGAAAGTAATTGGTATGACGATGGGCTGATATTTGCAAATGGAACAGTGAAGTTTGAGACAATGGACTGATATTTCGGCAAATGAAGTATTTACTGTGTGGTTTTTAGATTTTACTGAGATATTCTGTAATTTCGTGTTCAAATATACTCGATTGTCCCCAGTTATGTTCTTGATCAGTAGATTTTGTGTCGTTGCCAACCAGGAGGGGGAAGGGTGCTGTTCTGCGGATCTCGATGTGAGCCTGGAACTTTTGAACTTGTTATAAGTGTGGTTTGTGACACTTATATCGACATAAGTAGTACATGATTGTAGTCAGGAACAGAATGTATTTCAGTAGGTTGTAAAAGGGCGGGAACGGGAACAGAAAGCGATTGGTATGGGAATGCAGGAGTAATGAAGTCTGGGATAAATGACTGGTATTTATGAAAGAAATAGTCAAGTCAAGAAAACCGATTGATATTTTGGCAAATTAAGTATTGTATTGTATGAGATATTCTGTAATTTCGTGTTCAAATATATTTGATTGTCCACAGTTGTGTTCTCGTTCAGTACATTATGAGTTACCTGTTCGGTTGTATTTATTGAATTCAAGATGTAGCTACGTACCACTCGGCCAAAAATATGTTGAAAAATGACATTTGTAACCGCAAACAACTGTATTATTCAAGTGATGAGATCTATCTATAAAAGCGGATACACTATGTCACAGTATATAGATGTGTATCAGCTATATTAGGTAATTTTAATAGTCGAGGTCATGAGTTACTTGAAGCTCGACCATTATGGACAACCTGGAAGCACTGAACAGCCGTTTCGTCCTACTATCGGACCGGTGACCAGTGGAGTTCAACGGGGTCAGTTGTGAGATAGTAACTCACTGAAGACAATGGTGGATGTCTCAGTCAATCTCGTGGATTAGTTGAAATTAGACATTAACGTCGTTGGACGACGGCCGTCTCAGTGGTCTAGTGGTTAAGCGCTCGCGTGCGACAGTGATAGGTCCTGAGTTCGAATCTCACGAGGCGGGACCGTGGATGCGAACTGCTGAGGAATCCCACTTTTAGGAGGAAACATCCTTCCAGTGTACTCAGGCTTTCCATGGTGGTCTAGATTTAATTGAATCATAATCTAATCGATCAAATATATCAAGATTATAAATAGTATTGTGGTATATGCTACTGATGTTGACAGATATAAGTAGTATATATCATCAATTGAAATGCCTGGTGGTAGAAAAGTTAACAAGATCGATGAACAGAGAATGATTAATGTGAAAACAAAAGAATAATGACGTTTGGGTCGAATGATTGACATTTTGTGAATGAAGTATTTACTGTATGGGTCACAAGTTCTAGTATTCCAAAATATATGGTTGTCCCCATCAGTGTTCTTGTTCACCACGGTAATGCCATCTAGTTCATATTGACATTTGTAAGTCAATGTCATGTGTAATCATATACAATCTATACAATAATCACGAAGTAAGATACTGTAGTGAACGAGAACATTAATGGGGACAACGAAATGCATGTGAACACAACATTACAAGATTTCTTAGTGAAATTTCAGAACCATACAGTATATACTTCATTGACAAAATGTCAATCAATCATCTCAAACTTCACTCTCTTTCTTCGTTTCCATACAAATCACTCTCTGTTCCCGTTCTCAACCTTTTGCTGTCAGATATCCCACTTTCGATTGATATTACGTACTACTTATATCTATCGACATCAGTAGTACATAACAAAGTACGACTGAATACCAAGTATTTTAAGTCTAAACTTCAGAGTGATTGATGGGTTATTATCAGAATGGGTTTTGTGGAGATTTTTAAAAAATTAACTGGTTGAAATCATGAGTCAATTGAAGCCAGACCACCATGGAAAACCTGGAAGCACTGGATGGCCGTTTCGTCCTAGTATGGGAGTCCTCAGCAGTGCGCATCCACGATTCCGCACCCCGCAAGATCCAAACTCAGGACCTATCAGTCTCGCTCCAGGCGTTTAACCAACTAGACCATTAAGCCGGCCGGCATCCAACGGTGTTAATGTCTAACTTCAACCAATCCAAGAAGTTGCGCCACCGTATACCATTGTCTTCAGTGAGTTCCTATCTTACAGCAGACCTGGTTGGACTCCACTGGTAACGACGTCCCCCTAGATGCGCACTGCTGAGGAGTCCCATACTACGACGAAATGGCCGTCCAGTGCTTCCAGGTTTTCCATGGTGGTCTAGCTTCAATTGACACATGATTTCAACCAGTGAGATTAATGGATTGTTTGAATAATTTGAGTTAATCGATTGAATACTGAATCCTTTTTTTGTTTTGATGCATGTAACTATCTCAAAGAGAATTGACTGTCCGGATCGACTTTTGTATCGCTTTAATTCATAAGATTAATTGTAAATAATGAAGATACTTAGATATTTGAGGCTTCTATTAGTGAAAGTTTAATATCAACTTGAGTTCAAATCTCGCGAGGTGGGATCGTTCATGCGAATTGCTGAGGAGTTCCATACTAGGACGAAACGGCCATCCAATTCTTCCAGGTTTTTCATGGTAATCTAAGAAGATACAAGCAAACAACACTAAGGGAATATGAATACATTTGGTTGTTTGTTTGGCAACTACAATATCCATGACAAGTACTTTTCACCTATTTGTTTTTGTTTATCAAGTCGTTGTTTTTATGGTTATTTTGTTTATAGAACGATTGGTTCCATCATAAAATTCATGTTTCTTATTACTAGTTTATTACATCTAATTACTATGGTTACTGTTTAGATGGATTCATTTACTTATTTAAACACGTAAACATTGGCACAAAGGGGGCATCAAATAGATATACGCCAAACTGAGTCATTCAATTCATGTGATAGCTGGGATACTGTAGTGGATGCCCAAATCAAAACAGGTGGTTAACTTGGAAGGACACACTACCAGCCTTTTGATCTATAGGTCTAAGACAATGGAGCAACTTGTGGAAATGCAGTTCCATGGTAACCATTGATCAACAATAGGTTTATACGCCATTAGGATCCTGGAGCTCATATGCACTAATGGTTTGAAATCAGAATTCGCCAACACCTCTCAATGAATTCTCCATATCCACCAACCTGGTTAAAACACAGGACATTCGTTTTTCGTCCTCTCAGTTTCGTAAACAACACCACAGTAGCGAGAACGTAGTGAACAGGAATTCCCTGACAATGACTGTATACGCGTGGCTATGTTAGATCATTTTGAGTGGGAGAACTGACTCTCTCCACGCTCGACCATACCAGGACAATATATCATATTCATTGAAAGTTTACGTATATTTGTGCAGATTTTGGAATTTCGATAGCCTAAATCATCAACTGATCATATATTTGAGCATTGAAGTTCAATTATATCGGATGTGAGAAGGTAATCCGTCATAGGATATGAAGGTCAGTTGCACAATATAAAGGGTTATTTGGAGTTGGGTATGTAAATGAATAGATACTAACCGATTGGTCTAGTTTTTAAGCGTTGATTGGTTAGATCGAAATTTCGGGGCTCGACTGTATGTGATAGGATCGTGGATACGTACTGCTGAAGAGCCCAAATCAGTGGGAAATAGCTGTTTAGTGTTTGTTCGTTTTTTTATGAGGATCTAGTTCAGATCAGTTGTTCATTTATACTAAGAGAATTGGACTAAGTTTTAACCTCATTTATGAATGAGTTATTGTTGACGCTGTGAAATAACATAATATGCCTACCATTTGTTTGAAGAACTATTGTAATCTATACTTATATGATTACATGGAATGGATGTAACGTGATTAGCAACAGATATAAAGACACATGTCTTGTCCTTTCGAGAATCCTCTGCTGGGTGTCCCTGCATCTCAGAATCGATATTTATCTTGAGATTTAGACCTGGTACCTGAAGTCTTAAGTGAGAATAGGCTATTCATTCAGCATAGTTATGTCCAATCGAAATGGGTTATAAATCAATTTTAAGTGTTTAGATCTTCCGACTGTTGGCGTTAAAGACTATAGTTGATTAGTATCACTTGGCATAAATGAATCCTATGAGGGTTATCATCCATTCTACATAAACGTATGACATAATGACAATCTCTAGGCACGATACACATATTTTTGGCCAACTCTGACATTATTCTGTCCAAGTTAGGTAGGCAATCAAGAATATTTTAATTCTGGTGGAGTTTTGTTCTCTGAGCTGTATGGTTTGGTCGTGGAGCTTTCATCGTTCTTCTGAACTACATCATCAGCACAAACGTCAGATAGAAGTGAAGTGTTCAAATTTCTCCATATGTGTTTCACAGCTTGTTCTGTGCACCTCGATGTTGATTGGTTCTTATTGACCTTAAATTTATCATTGTTTACTTCTTTGTTTTTTCCTTTGGTTTGATTTTTGTTCCTGTATTTATGCACTTCACTTCTATCAGCAGTTTGTGCTGATGATGTCGTTCAGAAGAACGATGAAAGCTCCACGACCAAACCATCCAGCTCAGAGAACAAAACTCCACCAAAATCATCCACCTGAGCTACAAATCTTCTCCACCATCTCAATATTTTAATTCATTTTTGTATTGGTTGTTTGAATCTTTCCATTTATGTTTAGTACTATAATTGACTAGTCACTTATCAGCATATGTGCATCCTGTTCGAATCGTTTCGATATTGCCTGAAGTCATAGTCATTATAAATAGCAATGGATGGTGGGTATCAGTGAAGTCTAAAAAGTGTGTTTCATTCTATTTTGGACTCTTCAGTTGGATATAACAGCATCCCGTAGTTGATATTTACTTCGAAACTCGAACAAAGTACTATTCGCTCCAATTGCAGTTCTAAACATCACTTGTAAGATTCAAATAACCAAAACAAAAAATGAAATAAAACTTCACCCCACTGTACAAACTAGTGATTATCAGGAATCAGTAGCTAAGTGGATCAAGTGAATGGTACTGAGATCGAGTCCCGTAGTAAATATCAACTCTGGAATGCAGGCACATCCAAGTGATGAATTTCAACTAGGACAAAACGTGCGTCCTGGATTCCACTGCTAGTCGTCACTCATCTCTTTTTATAATCGAGAATACTGTTCATGAATAGGTTGATTTAAAAAGAGATAATGTTATGTATTCTCAGAGATGAAAGTGAACTTATACTTGTTTACTTACTTACTTGCTTACTTACACTTAATATCCCTTGTCGAGGAGCATAGGACTCCAACTAGCATTCTTCATCCAACTCTGTCCTCATCAATCCTTCCTAGTTCTTTTCAATTACTATTCATCCTGCTTATATCGGCTTCCAATTCTCAGTGCAGTGTTATTCCTTGGGCTTCCTCTTTTACGTTTCCCTTCAAGATTCCATATTAGCGCTTACCTTGTAATACAGTTTTGATGATTTCCTCAATGTATGTCCTATTCCATTCACATTAGATTATGCATATTTATTAAACCGCAGAAGTGTTTTATAAACTAATCTATAATCTAAATTACATAATGACATAAAGTCATAGATTTGTCATGTATGTCATACTCATTTGAATGATCCAGGAAACGACATGAAATCGTTTATCTGTCAAGGCAAATCCTATGATATTGTACCTATGTATACCAATGTATATATATAGGAGACGTTAGAACATTTTACCATGTTGATCATGACAATGAACCTTAGAATTCAAGCATTCTTCTACATGTTTTTATTGGTTATACTACTAAACATTGATGGAAATGATTCATTATCTAATGAAGGAAATATAACTGAGTCTTTGTCAGTTACTGAAGTATCAGAAACCACCATTCAATCAAATGATTCAACAGAACCTGATAATACTGATGCTACTGCTACTGTTACTGCTGCTAATGCTACTGTTACTGCTGCTACTGCTACTGTTACTACTACTGCTGCCGGTGATGATGACGATGATGATGCTGATGATGATGATGATGATGACGATGTTGTGAAGCCTAAAACCCTTCAAAAACTGATCAAACCAAAAAAGATATCTAAACTTGGTGAATCCGAAGACACTATACCACCAAAGTATAGATCTGCCAAGAAATCTGATTACAACAAGATAAGAAACAAGAAAAAGTAATTCTATGAAACTTTCAATTAATCAAAGCATCTTCAATAGAGAATGATAAATTGATGATAATGATTTGATAAACTATAATAAATAAGTTCATATCACCTATTTGTTGTTTTATAATTTTGTTTTAAGTAATTTTCTGTCATATATTAATCTATCAAATTGGTTTGAGTTAGACAACCACAGTCAGTCAGTCAGTCAGTCAGTCAGTCAGTCAGTCAGTCAGTCAGTCAGTCAGTCAGTCAGTCAATCAGTCAGTCAGTCAGTCAGTCAGCAACCATGTAGAACTTCGTATGTACGTACGTACATCAGTTCGAGTTACCATACCACATTAGCACAGAGATGCAGTTGTCGATTCAAATCCTGTAGTCGTAGAGGTAATAAGAGTATAAGCAGTAAACCGAAAGATTAGAGTTTGAAGATGTTATTCAACGAGTATAATCCAGTGAAATAAATTTGGAGAAAGAAAAAAGAAAGAGGCAAAGAGCATTCAGAAGATTTGAATTTGGGAGGACACAAAGAGTGGATGCACCTACACCATTGTAAACGATTTTGAGCCATGTCATTCAACGTATTTAACCATCGGTTGTTATCTTATCACGGATCCCAACTAGGTAGTTTACACTTACCAACATGCTTCAGTTCACTTGTCAGTGAATCCATGGGTTTGTGCCATGTTTTGTTCTGACCGCCCCTAGCTTTCATCCAACCTACTTCTACAGCATAAAACACTGCACGTCGAGAGAGTCGGCGTTTGGGCATACGTAACACATATCTCAGCCATGTCAGCTGATGAAGTTACACTACTTCATCAATTGATTTGCCATCCTTACATAGTACCCATTTCCGAACAACTGCATTACTTACTCGGTAGTCCCAGAATATACGATCAATGCTTTGAAGACACTTATGATCGAATACTAGTAACCTACGAATATCCTCTTCTCTTACCGGCCACGTCTCACTGCCACAAAGTAGGACGGAACGAACTGCTGTGCAGTAAACACGTCCTTTGGCTAATAGACGGATATCTCGCCTACGCCATGTATGGCGCAGGTTGGCAAAAGCTAGTCGAGCCTTCTGTATCCGTGCTGAGATTTTGCCGCACACCAGAGCAGAAGGACTGACGAGACTCCTAGGATAAGTGAAGCGGTCGACACTCTCATCTACTTCACTCTCTACCATTAGTTCAGGTGCCGATGCAACCGAATCCTGAAGCAACATTTTGCATTTTGAGGGGGAGAATCGTATCCTAAACGTGTTTGCATTGTTGCATACGCCGGTTAGTGGTTAGACATCCATCCATCTTTTTCTTCTATAGATATCTTCCCTATAGCTGATATTATTTGATTCGCCCACAAGACTGATGATCTTGAATTCAATCATCAGTGGTATGGTCTTGGATGTAATAATTAAACGTTTTAGATAAAAATTCTCACTCCATTGTATTCTTCTTTATTCATATGCAAGATCGAAAGTTTCTAACCAAATATATTAAGTTGGAAATAAGTCACATTTTATGATTTGTACAAAAAGAATATAATGTTAGTAGAAACAAGTCGTGCAAAGTCATGCATCGAAGACAGCTGACAGACGCATTCCAAGTAAGGACCGGAGTCAGGAAACACTGTCTACTGTCCCACTCTCTCTTTCGTCTGGTGGTCAACTGGATTATGAAGACCTCTACATCTCAGGGAAAAAACGGAATACAATAGACAGCTCAGAACCAATTAGACGATTTGGACTTTGCAGATGACCTGGCCCTTCTATCCTATACACACGAACAAATGCATATAATGACAGCCAGTGTAGCAGCAGTCTCTGCATCAGTAGGCCTCAACATACACAAGAGGAAAACCAAGAACCACCAATCCAATCACACTTGATGGCGAAACTCTGGAAAATGTAGAATCCTTCACATACCTTGGAAGCATCATCGATGAACAAGGAGGATCAGATGCAGATGTAAATGCAAGGGTTGACAAAGCAAGGGCCGCATTCCTACAACGAAGAACATATGCAACTCAAAACAACTGTCTGTCAACCAATATCAAAGTCACAATCTTCGACAGTTCTACTCTACGGAGCTGAAACTTCAAGAACTACTACTGTGGTGTGTGCTACTTATATTGGTATAAGTAGTGTATGACGCGAGTTAAAAAATGTAAAGTCTGGCATCAGAAGATGGGAGATCAATAAAGGAAGAACGGAAACGCAATGCAATTTGTAAAAAAAACGCATGAACAATGAAATGTGAGACAATGGATTGATGTTTGCAACAGAAACAGTCCAATTTGATATGATGGATTGATATTTTGCAAACCAAAGATTCACTATCGTGTTTTTTTATTTTATATAGTAGCTCTGTAATCTGGCGCTAAATACATTCGATTGCCTCACCCGTGTTCTGTTCTTTACACTATAACCATCATCAAAAAGGTACAAGTATTTAGAAATAGTTGTCTACACAAATTACTCAACGTCCACTGGCCTGATACGATCAACAATACCCTTCTGTGGAAAGAACAAATCAGCTTCCAACTGAAGAGGTACGTAATAAAATCCGATGGGAATGGATAGAACATACTTTATGAAAACCACCAAACTGCCTCATGAGACAAGCGCTAACTTGGAATCCTGAAGGGAAACGGAAAAGAACAATGCCAAAGAACACATTACATTGGGAAGTAGAAGCAGAAATGAAAAGGATGAATAACAACTGGAAATAACTGTAAACGACTGCCCATGACAGATTTGGATGGTGAGTGTTTTAAACAGCCTATGCTCCTCGAGGAGGAGTAACATGTGTAAATAAGTAAGTAAGTACGTATGTATGCATGTATGTTTGTATGTAAGAGGCAAGTAGTATACGAGTATGTTAGAGGACTGAATGCAGATATTCTGTTGAATATTGGGTGCGTGCTAGTTTTCATATATCCACAAGTATTTAACCTATGATGAACACTTTCATAAATAGAACAAACTTGTTCAAAGTAACTTTACCCCTTAAGTTCATTATTAACTTTCTTCTAAACGATTTCTTCTAGATTCTAATAGCAAATTGTAACTGTGATAGATATTAGAGATGTCAGGAGTAAACCAATTATCCCAGATGATATTTCTCATTTGACATTGATCACACATACTACTTTTATCTGACGACATCAGTAGCACACATCACACTTGTCCGCCCCTTTTAAAGTAGTCATTCTGCTCGCCATGCCACTTTCTTATTTTCTATAGTCTATGCCCATCTCTCCATCAAAATGTCGAGTCTGCGAGGCATTGACTAACATATTTCCGTCACCCTTCTGGGCCATCAAAATCTGACCTAAGTTTAGCACCTAAAACTTTCAACACCTGAGCTTCAGCGACCTGCTTAACCGTCTACATCCGTTGTCCGTCCAGTAGCCGCACGTCCCACCGCTCCTCTCCGCCGGCAGAATCCATTATAGCCAACACCACTCTCCAGGATACTCCATTCGACGTCAGCTAGTACCTCAGATCTAGGTCCGCAACGGCGTATACAGAACAGCACCCTTCCCACCTCCTGGTTGGTAATGACACCAAATGTAGTGAAGGAGAACATAAGTGAGGACAACCGATTATGTTATAATTTTTACTCATGAAAATTACATTTTTTTTCAATTTTCAAGAGTAAATGTCAAGATATAACTTGTTATGATTTATCAAGCAACTTTCGTTTGTTTGTTAGTTTATCTTCAAACTATAAACACCTTCTAATGATGTTAATTCATGTTAATTCATGATAAAGAAAGAAACCTGTTCTGTTTTTTTGTTGTTTGAGAATTGACAAGTGATGTGTATTATTATTATCATCATCATCATCATTCATAGTAGTTAAGCAATTGCCAATATGAAATGAAGATAGTTTGTTGGTAGTAACCATTTGTTTTAGTATTGTGGAAGTTTACTTGTTGTGAAAAAGTAAAAATATGTTTTTGTTATATCCTGATGAGAATAGTGGATGGCAACTATTGGGATCCATATATGGATTGATACTATGTACATATATATATCCCTATACTGACCGTTGTTGTTACATTGACATGGTGGTTGGGCTTGCCTACCGTTATGAACCAGTCGAGCTATACTGGTTGGAACAATCGTTCCTCAAGGTCCTACCATGCCAGACAGGTCGGTTGAAGAGTGATAAGATTAAAAGCAGCAAACCCCAGGGTTTGAGGGTGAAGTCGTATTTCTGACTGTACAGAGGTGTGACGGCAGTAATGTGTTTCCTTCAGACAACAGCAGCGCTGCCTTCCCACAAAGAAAGGGTGGAGGTAGAAAAGATCAACCCTAAAAATGCACATCTCGCCTTATCTCACAAATATCCGTCTCCGGCGGTAAGGTCTCAACAAGTGCGGAGCTAACATGAAAACTAGCCACAAAATTGTTGTGTGTGATCGACTTCTAGTGGTGATCCCTTGGGCACTGCGGTCACGCTCTCAGGTCACTTTGACCATCTTTAATCCAATTTCCTTTTCAAGTACCACCAGAAGAACCCTTTCACAGTGTGAGTAACCGAAAAGGGATAACCGCCTTCGTACCTCTAGAAGCACTCGAGTTATAGTCCTATTGTATAACTGTTCAGCAACTAGATTATGAATATTCATATTTCTCTTATTATAGGCTTTATGTTTACCCATAGACTATTATTATACGATTTACCACTCTTGAGTTATGCCTACTCTAATAATGACATTCTCCCATAATCGCAGCCACTTTTGGCTAGATCTTCTACAAATGTTGTTCTAAATTTTATGGTGCGATGTGATCCGTTTGGTTTGTATATAAACCCAGTATGTTTGAAATATACGGTTCATATCGCAGAGGCTAAGATTGGCGTTCTGGGCTCAATAGGCAGGGCTAGTCAGGAAGAGGGACCCATAAGGATTCTAAACTACTCGTACAGGTTTATGCGTTATTGATCCAGTCGATAAATCACTGTTCTCTAATTTGAGGTATCATTACATTATAGAAAT